AGATCCCATTTGCTACTCACCAAAATAGGATGAGGAACAATGTTTTTCTGTAGTATGTTATGCCAGTTAAGCTTGATGTCCCCTGACTATGATCCCGAGCCCCCAGGTCCAACTATTTCTCCCTTTGGGTAGTTGTCTGTGGCCAAGAAGTGACCACACCCTTTTTCCTTGTCACCTCTACTATATACTTGGGAATTCTTATAGAACATTCAAATATACTTGTACAAACATTGTCTGCCAACCCTATACATGGTCTTGGGCACACTCCCCTTCATTGACATACCTAAAAGTTCAGCCTATCCACCTGTATATCAAAGTTAGTCTTCACTGACAACGCAGTACTGTATATGCAAAACAGTTCATCTTTGCTGTCTGAACCTCCCATTCACCTTTATATGTGTTTCTCTTCCCCAATGCCACCATGTTGATACTCACATTTGGTATATTGCCTTTCTCTTCACCCAAATCAATACTTGTCTCTACCTATCTAACAGTGTTCCCTCCCATCCCACCCCTGGTAACCAACAAAGAATATTTCCTTCTATATATAAACCTTTCCTTGATGTTTTACAATGATGGACTAATACAATATTTGTCCTTCTGTGATTGACTTATTTCACTCAGCATATTGTCCTCCAAGTTCATCCACATTATGCGGTGTTTTGCAGATTCTATGTTATTCTTTAGAGTTGCATAGTATTCCATTGACACTGCAGGCTTTTGAAGAGTTAAAAAAGGTTCTGTTCTTTAGAGATATAATTTTTTTAAAAAAAGAAAACCTAATCATTTATTGTAAATATTGCCAAGTTGTTGTTTTACATTGTTCAACAGCAGAGACTTAAGGCCAGGTCTGAGTTGCTCACTTGCGAGCTTTCCAAAAGAAAGTTGCTTTACTTCTCTGAGTCAGCATTTCCTTATTTATAAAATGCAGCTACCACTTTGAAGATTAAATGAAGTAATAATTTCCATAAAGCTGCAGCCCAGGACCAAGCATATAGCAACAGGTAATAAACAGAAATTTGTAACTAAAATTCTGAAGAAACTTTCCGTGGAATTCTGATATAAAAAATCAGCATTACTAGGCAACAGACATTTCTTCCTTTTTTTTTTTTTTTTAATTCTCACAACAGATATTTTTTGGGTGCCCCATTTATGCTCTGCACTAATCTATGAGCTAGGAAACACAGGACAAAAACTCTACCTTCATGGAACTTACATTCTCCTTGGAAAACACAGCCAATACGAGTAAAATATATGTATGCTAGTGATATGCACTGATGAATTAAAAAGAAAGCAGGGAAGGGGGATACAAAATGTTGGGAAGAAGTTGAATTTTAATATGATGAACAGGTTAAGACCTATGTAAGAAGGGGATTCTTGAGTGAACACCTGAAGGAAAAGAGGTGCTATGTGTGTGGATGTCTAAGGGAAGAGCATTTCAAGTGTACTTGAGAATAGCATGTGCAAAGGCCCTCAGGCAGGATTGTGCATGGTATTACAAGGAATACATGGAGATTGGTGTGGCTGAATAGAATAAATAAGAGTAGTAGGTGAGGAGATCAGAGAGATAACACTGGGACCATTTGGTGCACCTTGTAGGTCATCATAGGGTCTTAGGAGGATTTGAATAGATAGATAACATGATTTGACTTACATTTCCCAAGGATCCTTCTGGTTGCTATATTGAGAACAGACTTGGGTGAGAGAGGAGTTGGGGAGGCTGGTCAGCAAGGGGAGAAGCACAGAAACTGTTTAAGAAGCTAGCATAGTAACACAGAGTATTAGCACATCGCTGTCAATGGAGTAATTATGATGTGTTCCACCAGTGCAGGGCTGGAATTTTTTCTCTATCGTGTGTATATGTATAAACTCAGGAAGGGGTGAGAGCCGTATCATTCTGGAAGTCACGCCATCCTGGATTTTATTTTTCTTCAGCAAACTGTGGCACTATTTAACAGTCCCGTTTGCATATAACTCTATCAGTGCCCTGCTTGTCTGGGAAATTGTCTTGGAAGGGAAGGAATACTTTATAAAATGGATTATCTTTGTCATTGTCATATTGCAGCAGTCCCTGGTGACCACCCCATGGCAAGAGAGGCTATAGTGAAGTACTGTTCCTTTGTGATAGTTATTGATTCTGACACTATCAGTCAACTAAGGAAAAGTAGGTTACTGGAGTCGAGGAGCACCATTGAGATGTGTACAAAGGCAGGACTGCACTTCACGTCATCATCATCCTTGGCAGATGTCACAGGAACAAGGAACCCTCTCTGCAGGATGCAGCACCCTCACCCTGAAGCTTCATTTTTCCTCCTTTTCAGCCTTCATTTGATTAGGATTGGCTTTTTTTTTCCCTCCAAAGTCTTATGCTATATTTCAGTGTTGCCTGTAAAAAATATTCCTGTGTTTAGATCAGAAAACTGGACTAACCTTTTAATTTACTCAATTGAGATTTAACCTCACACATGTGACTTTCTACATGCATTTTCATGAAATTTTCCAATAAGTTATAATTTACATGTGTGTATCTGCATCTTGGGAGCTCTGGTAGCATAGTGGCTAAGACACTTGCCTGCTAACCAGACGGCTGGCGGTTCAAACCTACCAGCCACTCCTCGGAAGGAAGGTTGGGCAATCCTACTTCCGTAGTGATACTGCCTTGGAAACCCAAGGAGGGGTCGCTATGAGTCGGGTTTGACTCGACGGCACATAACAACAACAACAACATCTGCATCTTATGGGTTGGTGTTGTTAGTTGCCATCAAGTTGATTTCAACCATTGAGACCCCATGTGAAAGTCCAACAGCCACATTTTCTTGGCTGTAATCTGTATGGAAACAGATTGCCAGATTTTTCTCATGTGGAGCAGCTGGGTAGGTTCAAACTGCCGACCTTTCAGTTAGCAGCTAAGCACTTCACCATTTGCACCACGAGGGCCCCTTAACTTAAGGGTAGGAGAGAGAATATGTGTCGTAAGTCACGCATAGCAATAGTGTGACAACTAAAGAAAGGCTGGAATTAATTTATCTAACATCGGTATGCATTGGCTGATGCTGCTGACTCGGAAACCCTTTGATTGTCATTTAAGGGTTCATGTGAGTTGTAACAGCTTTACCAGAATTACATCAAATGTTCATGGATATAGTGTAAATTCCTTTTATGATAAGACACCAGTAATATCGTCTTAATTTATAAATTGAGTTTATTTGCAGTTTAATTAAAAACATTATTCGTATTTTTCTTGGGTGGAAAATAAACTAAATTTATTATTTTACATGTTTTATGTATTAGGAATATAAAGTAAAAAAATATATTGGTATCTGATTACATCACTTATTTTATATTTTTCTTTCTACAATGCTTTTATTATCTATGGTCTCCTTGCTATAAAAAAAATGTATTTGTCAAGTTGTGATTTTGCTTTTCTCAAGTAACGGTTGTCTGACCACCACTTTTGTAGCTATGAGATTTAACAGTTGTGAACACTGCCCACATATATCATCTTCTTAGATCCTAACAGTGACTCTGTGGAATATACGCAGTAGACAGAATAGCCCCTTTTTACAGCAAAGGAAACTTCAAGACTTAGTAGTAACAGCCACGGTCACTTTATTGAAGAAGTGTAGAGTGAACTCATTCATTTTTTAAATGCTAAGTCTGGGGCCGTATAGCCAACACCAAACCATTTTCCTCAGCTCTTGCAGAGCCCATGTAGTTGTGGAGTAAACACAGATACTTTGAGTATGCTAAGTTCAGGGGTTGCAGCAAACAGTGGTGACAGTGTTTTTCCAAGTGCTGGCATTTTCTGTCTGATGCACTTCTGTGATTTTCTTACTCCTGTCCCCTTAGAAACATGCAATAAATCCAAAAAGGCACTAAAACAAGCTCTTTTGGAATACATAAATCTCAAACATAATGTTGAGGGAAAGAAGAAGGGATATGCGGTATGACTGCCTTTATATAAAATGCAAATGCAGGCCAAACTAAGCTATGCTGTAAGAAGTTAGGATAGCATGGACCCTTGTTTAGGGGTGGACGGGTGGGTGGGCCTGTGAAGTGAAGATTCTTTGACGTGCTTTTCTCCAGAAGACTCTTTTTCAATGCCTTATTTTCATAAGTGGTGGCTCAGTTTAAATGTTTTAGACTTGAAGAACTGTAGTTATATGTTTATTATCCATTATATACTGCCATTTCCCCACCAAAGTCAATTACCCTTTATCGATGTTCCCATTTACTTTGAGTCCTGAGAGTGTCATTGTTACAGAACCAGCTACAGAGGAGCCACGTTGAAGCCCATGATAAATCGCTTGCCAAAACAACTTTCTTGCTTGTGCTTTTTAAGGTGTTATGGGAAGAAAGGTATTAAAGAAGGTCTCTTCAGTTAGAACGTTAATCTGTATCAAAACAGACACTGCTAGAAATGTTCCCATGGAATTCCGATAAGACTCAGCCCAGAGCTTTAGTCAGCCTCTTAGAATTTAACAATTTCACACTGATTTCTTTCCATATAAGTGCCTTCAGAAAAGCACAAATAGTTGAGCGACAATAGCTATTTCATTTTAGAAATGTCCCTTGAGGTCAGAGCCTAAAGGAAATGAAATTGAAGCTAGAAATTACTTTGAGCAAAACTAAATTTTAATAAGAATAGAATTGATGGCCATAGCCATCGTGTTTCTCAGGGCTTCTAATGTTGGACTAAATCCATACGCTTTCTGACCATGGTGCATCTGGAAAATACAGGAAGAACTCAGAAGATTTTGCAGGTCAGCAAAGCCTTTTGCCATCTTCATAGTTTAGAGCTTAAGACCAGTGTGTATAATATATATTATGGGTCATGTTTAAGGTGACAAACTATTTTCTTGCAAATCATTGTTTTTGGTCCTAAAGATGGCTGATTATTTTAGCTTGATTTAAATCTTTTTTTTTTTTTTTAAATGTAGTATGTTAGTGTCTGCCAGATATTTACATACTCTGGCTTTTTCTTTTTCCCTTCTCTGTAGTGTTCTGTGTCCTTGTCAGAAGAGGAAAGGCTTATTTCCACCAGGAGACCTAAAACACCAACCTCCAGTGACTTCTCCGACCTTAATACTCACACAAACTGGACCAAGTCACTTCCGTTGCCAACACCAGAAGAGAAGATGCGACAGCAAGCCCAAATAGTCCAGGCTGATGTGGTTCCTATTAACGTCACTGGTATGCTTTCTATTCAGACTGGGTCACAGTATATTTGGGAGAATGATTATGACTTTTTGTTTGTTATATGCTCTTAGGATTTCATTTGTTCATCAAAGTGAAATAGATGTGATCTAGCTTCATGACCTTTGTTTAATGAAGGCAGTTCTAAAATGTATGTGTGTGTGTGACACAATATGTGTACTACTCATGAGATAGAAGACTATATCCCCAAAGTTCAGAGGAGTTGACAGTTCAGCTGTTCAACTCAATTAAGTGTGTCTTTCTTAATTAATTTCATTTTTAAAAAATATTTTGGTTGCATATGAACATTTTCTAAATATGGTCCTAGGTAAGAAAAAATTAAATATTTTTAAAGCATTACTGTAAGTAACATTTATTGTTGTTGTTGTTATGTGCCGTCAAGTCAGCCCTGACTCATAGCGACCCCTCCTTGGGTTTCCGAGGCAGTATCACTACGGAAGTAGGATTGCCCAACCTTCCTTCCGAGGAGTGGCTGGTGGGTTTGAACCGCCAGCCGTCTGGTTAGCAGGCAAGTGTCTTAGCCACTATGCTACCAGAGCTCCCAAGTAACATTTATAGAAGTGAAGAAATAATAAATAATAGTTTTGTGGCATTTCTGAATGATAGATTTTATCCTATTTTCTCAAGTAGAAAAGTGGAAAAATTACTTGAAATAAAAAATATTAACTGACGTAACTATAATTATAAAAACGTTGTTTAAAAGTTGTAAGGTACACCTGCATTTTGATAGCTATAATATGAATTGTAAAATCCTGAAGTAAAAATTCATTCATTCAGAATATGAAAGTTTTAGAATATGTTAAGCTGGAATGTGAATTAATTGCCAAACCTGAAAATTCAAGTTCTTTTGAAATATTATCCTCAGGTGGAATCATCTGTGATAATTAATGTGACGAATAACAAAATACCTAAACCTCAAAGATGATCTTTCACAAACCTAGAAGAGCTGTCAAAAGTTAGCAGAATCATCTTGCTATAACATTTCTGCAGCGCACAAATGGGTTGCTTGGGCTAGCGATTCATGCAGTGTCCAAAGTGTAAAACAGACATGTTCCGAGTTGACAGCTTCAGACATCAGAATGTCTGTTCAAGAGGAATAGATTACCAGGAGACATCATTGAGAATCAGTCCGTACAAAGAATGACCCATTGGCCCAGAACCTGAAAATATTAGGAGATGAGTAAGGAAAAGATTTCATAAAACACTAGGGAAAAAACCCAGAGCATTCTTGCTGTACTTCTGATGCTACTGCTTGTGGACTGCTGATAGAGAGCTTTTTGCTATGGCATTTTGAGCTTGTAAGAGGCTAATAACATTTTAGTGGTTGCTAAAGATTTAAAAAAAAAAAAAACAAACGTTATAGACATTTAGAACTCTGTTTTTGATTCCACAGAAATCATCATAAGTAAGTGCATGAATGATTTTAAATTCCATATGCATTTTTTTCTGTGTTTTTCTTAGTCTTTAAAGAAACAATATGGCATTGTAATCCATTTGCTTTACAAAGTAAATAACATTGTTGATCTTCCTAAGTGGGTTTTCCTATACTAAAGATTATAGTTATTTTGTAGTTATGTTATAGAACAAAGTATAATTTTTATTGCTATATTAAATACGTGGGTTCAAATTTCCTGTAAAACATTAATATTGCTATTTGATTAAATGCAGAGTGTACTTCTATTATATATGATTAAATGCCTCAGAGATAATATTACAAGATAAGAAAATAGTGCTGTGAAATGTGATAATCCTTAATGAAATTAGGATAAAATACATTATCGTGAGATGAGGAAATTTAAAATAGGGTAATTAGAGTTTCAAGGATAAAGGATTATTTTCAATGATCTACATGGTCACAGCAGAACATGGTGTTATTTCTTTGAGCTTAATCCTCTCCTGTTTGATGACTAGGTGGATATGAATTACATGGAACAGGTGAATGAATACACATTAAAAGCAATGAAGCAGAATTTAAAAGGAGGCCTTTAAAATGCCAGATGCGAATGGTGAATGACAGTAAAGAAATGAGCAGTGTGCATTATGTCAAATATAAAAATTTCACTTTGGATGGTTGAACCGATGTAGGTTATACAGCCTCCTGGTCCTCATACATTTATAAAGCTCAAAGGATTTTTGACATAAAAATGTAACTTCTTGCAGGGAATTGTCATATGCTCATTTATTTGGGTGAACATTGAGGCTGTAGTTTGATTTTCAATAAAGTTCAACAGGAAAAATGCCAATATACGTACTATTTCAAAGTGAGAGTGAAACCCACCAGGCATAAAAACAGCACATTAACGCAATGAGCTTCTGGCTTGAGAATGGATTTAATTCCTTTAGTTACAGTCCTGTGGGGAATCAACATATTCTAAGAGTCGAGGAGAAAAAAATATAGAAAACAAAATGTAAGTATGCTCCCTAATTTGCCATGTAGTGTAACAACTCTTCCACCTGGAAGATAAGAATAGTGTATAAACATACTTAAACAGTTTTCATAAACTGGCTTTGTACTGATGTTTGAGCTAGCTAGCTTATTCTAAGTAGTAACTGTGACCGTGATGCCATTTTTCAGTGCAAAGGAGTAATTGCCTTCCTTTCAAGTCAACAGATATTACTGATTAACTACTTATGCCAGGCATTGAGCTGGATGCCATCGGGATACTAAGGTGCCAGAACCATGGTCCCTTCCCTCGAGAAATGTACAATCCAGCAGGGAAGACCGTCTTTCTAAGTCACTAGCAAGAAGGAGAATTTGGCACCTTTAGTGGTGTATGTCTTAGCTGTTCATCTTCTTATGGTTTGCTCTCCTAATTCCTTGGATACTGGGTGGTTTTATCTTTTGATTTTGTTTAGGAACCAAAGCTGGACACTAAATGCAACTTTCCACTAATGTTTTTTCCATTCTTAATACCTTTGATTGAAGGAATTCTATTTTCTTTTACTGTGGAGAGTTAATGGACATAACTTGCCTCTAACAAATGCCATTTTTACCATTTCCCGCTTATCATGGTGATGGTGCCTTCTGGTGTTTCAGGGTCTTCTCTCAGTCATTTCTACTTTTTTGCATTAAGAACAAACTCACAAATGTTTGCCAGTTTGCAGCATTTTTTTAGAAATTATTTTTCAATAGGTAAAATGTGTGTTCACCATTCGGATCTTTTATCCTCTGTTTTGCTTAGATAAGGTTCTGTTTACAACTTGTTCATATTAAAATAGAAACTACCTTGTTCACAACAAACCCACTTTGAAGAAGTGTCAACATTGCAAATAAGAGTGAATATTTTATTCTTTTTTACATAAGAACAACAGAAGTACGTGATGTATGTGTGTGTGTATGAATATAGATCTCTATTGAAGAGGATAATATGACCATTTCAAAACGTCAGTGCTGCAGACCTTTAATTTAACTGGCAAGTAATTTAATGCAGATCAATAACTGAGACTGTTACAAACTTTACTGATTTTATGGTTTCTCACAGTATGTTAATTATACAAGTTTATATAGTAGGAAGGACATTCCAGGTTTGATTGCAACATCACCTGAAATGTCTGAACTAAGATCAGCTTTAAAAACGGATTATGAAATAGCAACCAGCTTTAACAACAGCAGTGCTACTGGGTCTCACTGTGATAAAAGTACTTTATCATTATAAGGCTTTTTTTTATGATAGTTTTTTTTTTTTTAACACAATAAAAATGACCACAGTTTATCCAAATCATCAGCCTTCTTGACTGAAAGAAAAAGCTCTTCATCCCAGAACTCTTGATTATTTGTTTCATCACATAGAATGAGTTGTTATATTGGTCTCTGTAGGATGACGTGCATCAAATACATTCATTGCCATCACCATGCACACACTGATAGAAAAAGGTGTTCTCTGACCAGAGGACCTATGGGAAACATTGCCACCAATCATCCATTTTTTAAAGAACACAGAATCACTCTTCCAGTGTGTAAATAACAAATTTGCACTTGCTACTCTGACTCATGAGAAATGAGGTTGAGGTGCTGCTTTGAAAGGACACATTTTCAGAAATTGGAAAACAGCCTTATGATGCTAACGTGCTTTCTTCTTCTTGCCCTTCAGCATCCATCATCATATGACTGGCTAACATCATTATTAATACCTTCTTATCATTTGACAACAAGCTTCTGGAAGAAAGTGCATGGTGTCAGCTTGCTTGAAAGTAACATTGCTTTGCTTGTTCTACTACCTTACATTAGGGGAGAATTTCGATCGCCAGGCCAGCCTTCGGCGGTCTCTAATTTACACAGACACTCTGGTAAGACGACCGAAGAAAGTCAAAAGGAGAAAGACTATTACAGGAGTCCCTGACAACATACAGAAGGAGCTAGGTATGGCTCATCAGAACTGTATTCTGTTGCGCTTCGTTTCTGCCTGGCGTTACTATGCTAACCTCATTTGTGGTGCTTATGAAATCAATACATTCTGATAGCCGTTGGTTGCCCCAAAGGGCCAGCTTCTTTCCTGAATGAGGCATGGGGTACAAATCTTAATACCCCATGCAGGTGTTTATTTAGAGTTTGTGTGAGAAGGTAGGGGGAAGAGTTTATACAAGAACTATAAAGTAGAATGATAGAAATTTATAGTTATGTCATCATCACTCAATACCTCGAATTTTGGGTATTTCTGCAATTCAGTTTATTTTTCATTTTGATACTAAGTTTCCAAGAAATTGAAAACTCATTGTAGAACTTCACATTATGAAGATGGACTTTCACTAGTGACACTTAAAATGCTGGTGGCATTTTGACATTAAGAGAAATAGCTGTCTAGGTTTATTACTAAATGTCAATATAATGGGAAATACTTGATGCATTGATGTTAGATACTCCTTTCATGGACTTCCAATGAAACAACCTCATAGCTTTTTGATTCAGTTATTTTGCAACCTGTGATAATAATGGAAAACAAGAAATTGGGGATCTGGTGGGGAGGGTGGTTATGACATTCACTTCTCCATTTTGTTTCTGTCTTCCTCTTTGGGTAGTTCTTTTGTTCTCCCCTTCCTATATTAACTTCCTCTCCCTGTTTCATTATGGAGTCTATTGGGAATGTCTACAGAGGGCACGTGGAACAGTGGGTCAGGGTCAGGGGCTCTGGCACTAGACACCTTAGGTTTGCATCCTGACTCTGCCACTCCATTCCCTGGGTGACCTCAGGCAGGTTACTCCACCTCTCTGGGCCTTTTTCCTAACTCAAGAAATGGGGGTGATGGTGTCAACAGACCCTTCCTCATTGGGTTGAGTATTAAACTAATTTATATACATGCAGCACTTAGTCCTGATACTACTATAAATATAATCACTGTTTTAATTATTGTAGACAACTTAATACTACCTAACTTGGAGTTTGCCTCTTTGGTCAATCAAAGGACTTAATTCTGCATAGAAAATGCCAGATGACTACTTGATATTTTTAAATTCACTTTTGAAGATGTATAATGATGAAACATGGAATGCTTGGGTGAGACACAAATACTTAAGCGCTTAACTACCAGCCACCAATTTGGCAGTTGGAACAAACCATGAAGCATCTTGAAAGATAAGATAAAGAAAGATAAGGCCGTCTTCAGAAAGGTCATGGCCATGAAAACCCAGTGGAGCACAGTTCCAGTCTGCAACACATGGGGTCACCATGAGGTGGGATCAAGTCAATGGCAGCTGTATTTTTAACCATGAAAATCAGGACCATTATTTCTGAAATTGACTATTAGTCTTTTAACCAAACCACTTTATCCTAGCAATAGTGAACTATCTGTTATAGCACCTTGAATGGTAGCATTTCAGCTTGCAGGTCCCATGTGTTGCCCCCCACATCCCTGCTTAAATACCTTATATTAGGGAGGGTCTTTTCTCTTACATCAAATTCTACAGTATATATATATACATATACACTCTGCCTTAAAAATTATAGCAACAATCGGAAAAGAATACTGATGCTTTGCCTAGTGCCTAGTTAAAAAACTCCAGAGACCCAGATGACAGAAGTGCTTGCCTTATCCCATAATGTAGGGGTTTATTAGAAACACAGGCAAGACGCATCCACAGGATTTGTGAAATCTACCTTTGGTTCATGTCCTGGCATGCTGCTGCTTTTAGGGGCTACATAGGCCACCAGACACCTTCCCTAAACCTGTCCACCTAAGGACACCACTGGTGTTGCCTTCTTCCTCAGCTCAAATCTTACCTGGCTGTGTCCCATTCTTCCAGACATTGTTTTTGCTAGTTTGGGTGACAGCTAACCAATTTGAGAAACTAATCTGTACTAATAGAGCCAATACATGTTTAATAGATTAATTTATTATAGGACTCAGGTAACATTTATATTCTAACTGGTCTTTTAGAAGATGGGCTATAACCTAAAGAAGTGACTTTAAGGATAAGCAATTGAGACTCTTTAGAAGTTTACAAGGGGCTTGGGGTAGGCTGCAAGGATAAGGACAAGGCTAGATAGGCCCCATAAGTATCTGATAAGAACTTTTTTGCAACGTGACATAATATAAATTCTAGAACCCGAGCATTATGAATGTCATCCCTTTTATCACTGAACCAGCCAATATGTAGCAAATAACTTGACTGCTTCTTTTATTTTATTGGCATGATTTGGCTAGCCAGGTTCACTGAATCTTCTGTAATTTTATTACTTTTGAAATCAACAGTTGAGTCTCTGGAGCCCACATTCATTTCTCTTTTTCATGTGACATTAAACAGCTGAAGAACCACCACTAATGCTGGAGAAAGGAAAATAGCTTTCCCTCCATACATCATGAGTTGGAACTGTTACCAGACATGCGGTAGCTCACAATGGATGACCTGCCCTTGATCCCAGCTAGAGGTCAACGAGACAGCTGTAGCTAAGTCAGAGCTAGTTAACAATACAGAATAGACAATGACTCTAGTTTTATAGATAGGTCAGTGGGGGATTGGTGGATAGAATGAGGAAGCAAACCGAAAAACCAAACTCACTGCCATTGAGTCAGTTCGACTCATAGCACCCCTCCTTGGGTTTCCAAGGCGATATCACTAAGGAAGTAGATTGCCCAACATTCCTTCCGAGGAGTGGCTGGTGGGTTTGAACTGCCAGCCTTCTGGTTAGCAGTCAAATGCCTTAGGCACTAGGCCACCAGAGCTCCCAGAATGAGGAAGAATAACATTTAAAGATAGTTTAAATGATGAATGAATGATAGTCTTTCATTCATTAAAGATAGGTTCATTTAGCAAAGAAACAAATCATGTTTGTTCTGTTCATTTCTGACCTCTGGTTGACATTGCCCTTTCTCCCAGTGTTTGGTAATTATAGAAAGTCTGGAGCAGAAGCTGTGTATTACTAACTAATGATTATCAAAACCAGACATTTTCTTCTGTAATTAGTGTTCTAGGTATAAAGCATAGGGAAGTATGGCAGAGTGAAACGAATGAGAGAGAAAAGGAAATGATTACCTGAAAGGAAGGCACTCACTAGGAAATGCATCCACGTCTACTCACTAGATACTCCCCAAGTTGCCAGATGCTATACATTTTTAAAAATATAACCAAACAGAGCTGCTGTATGGAAAATTAATTTGCTCTGTAAATTTTCACTTAATCACAATAAAATTTTTAAAAATATATATGTATAACCAAACAGAGCTGCTTCCATGAATTACAGGCTGATAATTCTGCTCAATTATATGCAGTTTTTACTTCAAAATCATTCAGTAGTGACTCTGTTTAGCATTTTTTAAAATCAAGGTATGATCCTTACTGTTTACTTCCAATGCAATGATTTATTTATAATTGCCTTCCCTTCAAATGAATGGGATAAAATTTCAAACTTTTTCTTAAATCTTATTCTCTTAAAAACTAGGCAGAAATGTATTTGAATATCATGTTAGGAGGTATAATTTTTCAGACTGAGATTGTTTTATTGGTATATAATTTTATTTGGGTACATGATCATTTGTATACTCCTGGAACTTGTCTCCTTATATCTTTCCCAAGCAGAAAAAGCCTCATTTAAAGGAATCTCTACAGTGATATTTTAAATAATTTCTGATAGTTTGCCTAAGAACATTATGAAGACCTGACAAAACTTAAAAAAAAAAATAATAATACTGGTGGCATACTGTCTAAGGCATCTGACTGCTAACCAGAGGGCTAGCGGTTCAAACCCACCAGCCACTCCCCGGAAAGAAGGTTGGGCAATTTGCTTCTGTAATGATATCACCTCAGAAACCCAAGGAGGGGTCGCTATGAGTCAGACCTGACTCGACGGCAGTGGGTTTGGTTTGGTGTGGTTTTATACCTTTAATAAACGAACTTGTAGATTTCTATCATCCTTAATTACATACATATTTTTTAAATGAGAAATCCCTTGAAATATTATGTAAATAAAGCAAAAAATCATTATTACATAATTGTTTCTTTACATTACATTTTAAAATCAGATGAATCCCATCGGTATTTTAAATAAGCACCCAAGTGGTCTGCATGCATCTGAAGTCTGCTTTCCTGTAGTCCATTTTGTTCCTTAACTATAATCCATGTAGCACTTCTCTGATCCCCTTGATCCTGTGAAACATTTTAGACTGGAAAATATTGGAGGGTTTGTTTTGGAAAGGAAGTTTGATGGTCCCTAAATGATACATGAGGAGCTCTGGTAGTATAGTACCTAAAGCATTTGATTGCTAACCAGAAGGCTGGCGGTTCAAATCCACCAGCCACTCCTCAGAAGGAAGATTGTATATATGAGTCCCTAAATGATAGAAGTAGGAGTTGTCCTTCTATATTTTTTAAGGTATTTAGGGAAACATTGTCTCAATAAGAAAGTTGTGCTTGGCTGTGTTGTTGCTGTTGTGTCTCATTGAGTTGATTCTGACTCACAGTGACCCTATATGACAGAATGGAACTCCCCTATAGGGTTTCATAGGCTACAGTCTTTACAGGAGCAATCTTTACCAGGTTTTTTCTCTCACAGACCGGCTGGTAGATTTGAACCGCTGACCCTTTTGGTTAGTAGCCAAGCGCTTAACTGTTGTGTCACTCAGGCTCCTCATACTTGTCTGTAGGTAGTAAAAGGTTCAAATTAAAAATATATATATATTCTTATTTTCCAGAAGTCTAGAATGGTTTCATATTCAAAAGTGACTTAAAAGTATCATGACTTTGTTTATTGCACTTAAAGATGGTTGAAAATCTATCACTAACGTCATGCAAAAACCACTTCAGTTTTGAAAGAAAAAGAAATTAAAACCCATTGTTGGTTGAAATAACATATCTGACATGTTTGGTATTTAACCAGATGCAAACTAATACAACCATACAAGTCAACCTGTTATCTTATAAAGTACCAAGTGGCTAAAACTTTCACCTTTAATTTTCCTTTCCTCAAGGTGAAGTTTTCATCTATGACCTTTTGCCCACTTTCCTTTTTGAGGGGAGAATGTTATGTGTGTGTGGGTAGGTGGGTGGGTGGGTGGGTGTTCAGTACGTTGTTTCGGCAGATAGTGGGGGAGGAAATACGTCCTCTTTGGTAAAGATCCAGTCATAGAAAGGAATGTGCACAATCGGGATGGGAAGGGCTTTATGCTGGACAGCCTTCCCCATGGGGTGGCATCTTTACTGTTGACACAAAAACAGTGCCACCATTTTAGCAGTATCCTTTGCCATTTGAATGAACAAACAGCTTCCCAGCTCATCAGGGGCATGCCCCACACAACGATGAATTTGTGTGGCAGGAGGAAGGAAAGGTAGATCTCAGGGATCCCCCCCTCCTGGTGTCCTTGTCCAGCTGTGCTGTGGTGCAGACAGGTGCTCAGCTAGCCTCACTCAGCAAAGCCTGGGCCTGAGATATTTCAGGTCCTTTTTGGGTGAAAACAAGGTAGAAGGAACTATGGTCTTCTACTGCTTGTAAAGATTTAATTTGTCCTAATCATTACTGTGCATGGATTGATTCCCCCCCCCTTTGGATAAATTCTTGGCTTAATTTTTTTTTCCCCCTAAGCTTCTGTTCTTTCCTGGGTAGCTTGAACTCTTAATATTTATCTGTGCTTATACCTTTTCTCACCCGCGTTCCTCTCTGCCCTTCTCCCTGCTTCAGTTCTCGGCACCTCCTCTGAGTGGTGGTAAGGCCCCCAGGAGCAAACAGCTAGCATCTGAGGAAATGCTCACTTGATCAGGTCCTGCAGCTTCCCTCCCAGAACACACCAGATTGCTGTTGAATTTTGAATGTCACCAACAGACAGATGATAATGGCTTAAGATGGATAATGACATATTTGAAACACAGATGGCCCTGTAAATCATTTTTTCTTTTCCTTAGGAGTTCCTTTCTACATTTAAAAAAAATAAATAAATAATGTAATTAGCACCATTTTATGCCAATATCCCTCATAAAAGAAATTGCTGTAGCCCTGTTGTTCAACTACCACATTCATCTGCCTTTGGGGGAGAGAAAGTCAGTGCTTTATGGATGCTTGCAGCAGTCAGGCTGAGAGAGTCGGTCCTCGGTCCAGTGGGCGAAGGCTACCTTGAAGTCTTACAGAAAGGCGGTAATGTAAAAATTCTGCCCCTCACAGGGCACACTAGGACCTTGATCTCAAAGGGGGTGGCTGAGAATTTCATCTATAGGAGGATTTGAAATACGAATTGAGAAGTACATGAAATTCTGAATGTGGGTTGTTATTTTAGGAGCTACCAGGAGCTACTTAACCCATTTTGATGCCTGCAGGTCAAGTAGAAAAGATGATTTTTTTCAAGTACAACAGAGTCAGGAGGGAGTGGGAGTGTGGTTTTCATTTTCAGGTAACAAGCCTCTTTCTTCTTTATCTCCAGCATCCGGCATTGGCCACGAGGATGTCGGGGGTCATTCCATATACACCCCAGACCACTACTCTACACTAGGGAGGCTGGACAGCCTTCAGTGTGCGGGGCAGCGCTCCGAAACCAGGGACTCCAGCTGCCAGACTGAGGAAGTGAGAGTTGTCCCACCTTCGATGAGAAGGATTAGGGCACAAAAGGGGCAAGGCATCGCAGCTCAGATGAGCCACCTCTCAGGATCCTCTGGGAACATGTCTGTGCTGAGCGACTCTGCTGGCATTGTGTTGCCATCTCGCCTCAACAGTGATGCTGGTTTCCACAGTCTTCCACGCTCTGGAATAAGAGCAAATGTGCAGCCCCTCGAGCCAAGGCTGGGTGCCCTAGGCCCTGCAGAAGATGCAGACGAAAGTTTCTCCTACCACAGGGACCATCCTCAAATAGATGAGACCTTGGGACTGATAGGAGGTGCCTCTAGGACTGCGATGCTTTTGAGGCCCAAGTCCCAGGAGCTGAAGCACTTTGAGGGTGAAAATGGAATCAGCCCAGCATGTGTGGTTTCTCCCCATGCAACCTATTCCACCAGCATCATCCCAAACGCCACACTTTCTTCCTCTTCAGAACTGATTGTTATTCATACTGCTCAGAGTTCAGGGCCGCTGGACAGTAAAATTACCAGCTCATCCTCATATGCAAAGGTAAGACCCAGAGACCACCGCCTCTCTAGGCATGTTGTAAAAGAAGGTCATCAGTCTTCCAGTGGCCATTGGGACAAGAATCACTCCACCATCCTTTCACAGGCTGCCTTAGATACCAGTTCCCCTGATGTTGCCACACGATTGTCCCTCTGTGACTCAACAGTCTCTCTAAACACTGCAGCAGATAGGGAGAATGGGCCCCACGCTGGGGCATATAACTGTAGAAACAACCTGAGCTTCCCAAGCCATCCCCAGGTTGTGGACAGCAAGAGTGAGTCTAGTTATTCCGGAGGCCGAGTGCACGGTAATATGGAGCCCTGGGAATATCAAGCCTCTGGTAATGGCAGGGCATCCCCACAGAAGGCACAGTTTGCAACACCTGGTTACTGTACTCCTGTCAGTAATCTGAGCAGCTGCAGCTTAGACCAGGTATCAAACAAAGAGGATGGCCACTCCCTGTGCTCAGTGGACCACAACGGCTACTACACACCTGTGCACACAGGCTCTGGACACAGAACAGGGAATCCGTGCAATAGCAGTGATGGTTTTGGGAACCCCAGACATAGCGTGATCAATGTTTTTGATGGAAGAGCTCAGAAGAACCAAGGAGACCAGCCAAATTACCAGGATAAATCCCTTTCCCGAAGCATTTCTTTGAAGAAAGCAAAGAAGCCTCCACTGCCACCCTCTCGGACTGACTCTCTCCGCCGGATTCCCAAGAAGGGCACCCAGTCTAATGGACAGGTGCTGAACGAGAGCTTGATTGCCACGCTCCAGCACTCGCTACAGCTAAACCTCCAGTGCAAGGACGGCAGCTCGCCCTCCCAGAGCCCCTGCAGTGACTTTGAAGAGCCCTGGCTGCCCCGTTCCCGCAGCCAGAGCACAGTCAGTGCCAGCAGTAGCATGACTTCTGCCACTACGCCCAATGTGTACTCCCTGTGTGGGGTCACGCCGTCACAGAGCGACACGAGCAGCCTGAAGTCAGAGTACACGGACCCTTGGGGTTACTACATTGACTACACGGGCGTGCAGGAAGACCCAGGAAACCCGGGAGGGGTGTGTTCCACCAGCAGTGGAGCAGCAGCTGGAAACGGGCTGGTCCGCCATGTCCAAGATGGGTCCAGGGCCACGGTGCCTCAGGTGCCCAGTACTTCAGTCAAACCAAAGATCACATCCCCAGAGAAGCCCCACAGGGTCACTTCTCCATCCAGTGGCTACTCCAGCCAGTCAAATACACCCACAGCCCTCACACCTGTGCCTGTGTTTTTGAAGTCAATGTCACCAGCAAACGGGAAGGGGAAGGCCAAGCCCAAGGTACCAGAAAGGAAGTCCTCTCTGATCTCCTCAGTATCCATTTCCTCATCTTCAACTTCTCTTTCTTCTAATACTTCTACTGAAGGAAGTGGAACTGTGAGGAAACTGGATTCATCAGCTGCTCCTCCTCTGGCTCCTCCTCCTCCTCTCCCGTCCCAATATCCCGCTGACAAGTCTCCTTTTTTGCCTCCTCCTCCTCCTCTAGCAGATTCCTCAGGGGGCTCTCCTCTGCCTCAGTCTCCCGTCTTCCCCCCTCCACCGCTAGAAGCTCTAGCTCCATTCTGTTCCCCCGCTGAGGTCTGCTTTCCTCCTTCCCCCACATCACTTAGCCCCATTCTTCCCGTTCCATCCACCTGCTTTCCACCTCCTCCACCTTTCTTCCCTTCCTCAGTTCCACCACCTGCCCCACCTCTTGACCCCAAGTTGGTGAAAGACACCAGGCCTTCTTTCAAACCACCTAGCCAGCCAGACCCCTCCTGTGATGCCTTTAAGCAGCCTTACAACAGGGAGGACAACACTAGACCACCTATGCCCCTAATAACCACTGAAGCGTTACAGATGGTACAGTTGAGGCCCGTGAAAAAGAACTCAGGAAGTGAGGGAGCACTGGTATCTGAAAAAGTATCTCAGGAAAAATCAACTCCGGTTGTTCCACACTATCATTTAGAGCCATCTGCTCTCCTGAAATCCCGAAATAGCATAAATGAAATGGAAAGTCAAAGCCAGAATGCATCCACAAAAGGCTCTCTTCTAGCTCCTGCCAAGAGTGCGAGTCAGGGTCACCATGACAGTGCAGCGGAGCGTGTCGGCCTTCAGAGCCGCAGAGATGGAGCACAGCCGGCCCCGGCCTCTGGAGCCTCCTTGCCAGGGACCGATGCTGAGGCGGCAGCCCAGGCCCCTGCGCAGAGCGCAAAGGCGCAGTCGGGCCTCAGGACCGCACCGGTCCAGGAGCAGCCCAGCTCGCCAACGGACCCACATGGCTCCTCACCCAGCAGGAAGCCGCCTCCTATTTCAAAGAAGCCCAAACTGTTCCTTGTGGTGCCGCCACCTCCTCAGAGAGATCTCACCGAGGAGCACACAGAGAACGTGAGGGAAGCCTTCAGAGACGCGCCCAGCCCCGCAAGGGGAGAGCTGGACTCTGTGCACAGGGAGGAGGCAAAAGAGAGTTCTGCAGCCAGAACCGGTTCTGATGAGCTGGACTCTGGCAGCTCGGTTCTGGAGGGAGGAGCTGCAGGATCCACGTCCCTTGGCAGAGGGGAAGCCAGTGCCTCCATGGTACAGCCCGATGCCTCATCAGCCCCCAAGCAGGAAGAGCCGGGCACCTCGGATGAAGGCAGCGGGACCGACAGCAGTGTGGATGGTGTGGGCAGCGGGGAGCGCCGCCCACCTCTGGAGCATGGAGGGGGTAAGTCTGAGTTTTGCTGTCTTATTCATCTCTGGCCATACACAGCTGAGGCAGCCACGGCTGTTGAATGTTCACACACGGAGCCTGATCACACTCCTGTGTAAGCCTGAGCCTGTGGGCTTCCTGTGCAGCCTCACATGGGAGCTTATCAACTCGGGAGTTTATGAATGTTACAAAAATTCAAGATCCAAGTAGTAGCCTAAAGGGAGGGCTTACAGATGGGGAGAAAATAGGCTGGTCTGCAGCATGCTGGGACCTCCCTCTGCTGAGCAGCAAAAGGTCAGAACAAAATTCAAGCCATTCAGTCGTTTGTTACTTAACAGAAAAAAGAGAGTTTGAACTGTCATGTCAGTGCCTCTCCTGCCTCCATCCTTACAACATACCAAACGGCAGACCGCCCTGCATCTCTGGGCTTCTCGTGGGGTCGGAACTGCAGGAAAGAGCTTTCGGGGAGCTTGGCTGACACTCCAGTGTCTTGTGTGTCTAGTTGTGTACGTGTTTGCCTCTCTCTGTAGCCAGGGTGCTGGACGCAGACACAGCAGGCTCTTCCGTGGAGGCCTGGGACTTCCTCAAGGAAGAAGGGAGTGATGAAGTGATGACCCCCAGCAGACCCAGGACCACTGAAGACCTCTTTGCAGCTATTCACAGGTACCCCAAACTCCTCTCTCAGATTTGAATCTCTTTGATAACCCCCCTTCCCAAATGGTTGTTCCTTGATTCCCCTCCTGAGGCTTCCTCTGTCACCCAATTATGATCCTTAACTTCACTGATGATTTTTTCATGTATTTTCTATATTGTCATTCCTTCTGTCTCTAGTTTCTGTTTTGCTTTGCTCCCAAGTTTTATTATGACATCGGGGACAGAGGCTCATGTGACACCTTCTGGTAGGCACTGCTCCTGCTGGCGAGAAACGCAATGTTTCTGTCATATGACAAAGTGTTTTTTATACAAGTTGGGATTAGAGCAGTCCACACATAGTCCAGTCCATGGTGAAGTTTGCTGTGTTCTGTGGACTTCAGATGCACACAGGGTAGTATTCCTCCTTCCCTGAGGGAGTCTTACTATTATTATTTAACTAGAAAAATCTAGATTTCGCAGTGCCATTTCTTTGGCTACTTCAGTGTTGAAAATAAAAGAGAACATCTCTTTCTGAACAGGAGCAAAAGAAATTAAATTTACTCAATGTTATATACCACTGGTGCCATCTACTGGTGTCAGAAGTGGTTGCATTTAAAAATATATTTTAAAATATATTTATATATATATTTGAAAATATAAACCAAACCAAACTCACTGCCATTGAGTCAGATCTGACTCATAGCTACCCTTCCTTGAGTTTCCAAGAGAGTATCACTATGGAAGTAGATTGCCCAGTCTTCCTTCTGACAAGTGGCTGGTGGGTTTGAACTGCCAGCCTTCTGGTTAGCAGTCAAATGCCTTAGGCACCATGCCACCAGAACTCCCTGAAAATATATATAGGGTAAAATTGGAAAAAAAAAAAAAAAAAAACCTGCCTGAGGTGTTACCCTTTTTATATCTGGTCACTTTTAAAAGTGAGCATCACTTAGCAATTCTATTTGTTACAGCATTTTTTCTGGCTGTAAATAGCTAAGTGCTATTACAACAATATTATTATAAAAATTGATCAGATTATATAGGTACAAGTGCTTTAAACATAATGCTATATAAGCTTTTTGCTTCCTTCTAGCCTTCTTTACCACAGTATTTCAGACAACTCATATGAATGCCTTTATGCTACCAAGACCTTATATTGCCCTGAATCAAGATCCCTCATTTTCCTCCTAACAGCCCCATCTGTAGAAACAATTAATTCTCTGTGTGAATAACCTTGTGGCAGCACTGTGTTCCCGAGTCTTGGAAGCTAAGTGAGAAGACTGTTCCATGTGAAGAAAGCATCCTGTTGTCCCTATCTGTAACTCTTCATGTAACGTATAAACATGTTGTGTAGGGTGGAGAGGAGCTGGTGAATGAAGGAGTTTGTCAAGAATTATGTTCTTTACCTCTCAGCTCTAGTGTGAGTACATGATTTAGTGGAACCTAAAGACTGCCTTTTACTGTTTCCTGGATGGTTTCTTTCATCTCATTAGAAAGACAGTAGTAGCTGGGTACCAAATTATTTCTCAAAACAGAAAAATGAGAAACACTACATCCTTTGAATACCAACTTTAGTGGCTTTTCTAGAAGTTTATACGGATGTTATTTCCAACTAGAACCATGCTAGACGTGTGGTAAGCATTCAATAAACACTTTCTGAATTAAATGAAACCAACTAGAACTTAACTGTCAGAAAATTCCTCTAAGACTCAGACTCTTTTGTTTAAGATGGAATGCATTGAGTTGCTAAGTATAGTCAGATATATTTATAATAGCAAGCCACAGATGAGATCAGGGTTGCCTTGTTGCCCTATGTACTAAATACTTGGTCTCAGTGAGGAAATCTAGCTGTTGTGGGGCCAGATTACTACATGCTTTTCCTAAAACTATACCCAGTGACTCGTCTATATTTTGTTTTGCCTGTCTTCTTGAGGCACTGAAAAATTTGTGATTTTTCCCTCCCAGAGAGTAGTACATCTACTGTAGATAAAGAAATCAAGCTGTCTGTATTACTTACCCTTGGAAATAAAGGCCATGGGCCTTGGGTGTGGATTGCAAACAGAGAACAAGGACACGTGGTAATTTCTGTTTTTGCATTGATAATATGTTGTTGTGTTGGCTGCTGTGGAATTGGCCATTGGTTCATGGCGACCCTACACACAACGGAACAAACACTGCCCAGTGCTGTGTCATTCCCATGATTGGTTGTGGATTGGAATACTGTGATCCATAGGGTTTTCACTGGCTGATTTGATTAGCCAGCATAATAAAATTCCATCTAAAATCTATGAGCTTTAGAGCTTTATTCTGTGTCCTTCAGCACCTAAACTCAATCTTAAATAAAGAATATCTAAATTGAAACACAGCTTTCAAATTCTGTAATGCAAATTAACTCACTTCAGATTTAGAGCCAGATGGAAAATGTAGAACACCAGTTGAGGTGTGAAGTTTTTATATTTATTGAAGTAGTTAGTTTTTAAGCCAGTGTTAACTGTTTAAACACTTTCTATAGCCATCTTTTTGTAATGTACATATACAAAATATATAGATTTATATTTAATTCTCATTTTAAAAGGCAGTTGCTCTTGAGAAACCACAGCCCTGTCTTGCAATCACTCAAATCTACAATGAAAGTATCACTTTAATCCAATGTAGTTATGGCTCTCAGAACATTCTCGCCATGTAAAAACCAAATAAAAAATTATACCACAAATGAATATCGTAAAGAAGAAGATAAGCAGAGCTGCTTCTGAGGAGAAAGCGGTAACAGTCGTGAGGCCATGAGGTATAAGGGGAAAGACACTCCATGCGATCCTAGGTCTCACACTAACGAGCTGTGGTACCGTGCACTCTGAACCTCAGCTACCTTCTCTGAAAGCCCGAGGGTTTGGACTAGACCACTTCTAAAGCCCTGTCCAGCTACAAAGTTCTGAGATTTTATTATTGCTGTGGTTTTGTCAATTGTCATTAACTTATACCAGTATGCTACTCTGGTCACCTACTAAGCAGGACCATTGAACCAAAGGATCACAGGCCAGGTTCTGCAGTCTCAAAGGGGGCCAGGCCCATCCATTGCTGGTGCCACATCAGTTCTGGCCACTCTTCAGCCTCCACACTAGGTCCTTGCCATTCCCTCTCCTCTGCTTTAGTGGCTTCTCTTTTTCTAAGTGGGGAGAAGACCCAGGGAACACTGAGCCTGGGACAGCCAACATGGGCCTGTCTGTATCTTGGCCTTGCTGTGCAGGCCGTAGTATGGAAACAGCACTACTGCTTGGCGTGGTGGCAGGAAGAGAGAATTAGATTTCCCTGAATGACATGCAGGGTGTTAGTAAGCACTTACGCTATGCCTGTCACTTTACAACTGTTTCACATTCTTCTTTATTGATAAACTATTTGTTATATACTATGATTCTCCTTTTCCACATAGCAAACAGAGATCAGAAAATTCAATTCACCCAAAGTCACACAGGAAGAAAGCTTTACCAGTGGGATTGAGCCCAAGTTTGCATGATTCCAGAGGCTATGTTTTTTTATCTCATTTAACCATCACAACCTCATCCCCCTTTTACAGGCGTGGAAACTAAGTTGCAGCACAGATGAATCACTTGTCCAGTGTCACATGGCTAGAAGTTGGTAGTGCGCAGATTCAGCTCTTTATACTCTCAAATTTCCTTGTCAAATGTTGTAGAATTTTACAGCAGGAAGAGAGGTATACATACCAATGTCTTTATTTCATCAGCTGTATCTCCTTACCTTAAAGCACGGTCCACCTGCAGTTACCTAAGTGATCACCTGCTCACTGAGTTGTTGAAATGAAGAGACCAGCAAGGGGGCCACGTGGTTCACCTGCTTTACTCTCTCTGTCCTGCTAGCAGTAGAAAGCACATTGCACAGAGCGGTTCCCAGACACCAAGAAATAACCTCAGGGAACATTTTATTTTCCCTGATAAGCCCCTTCCCTCTCATGCTCTACCCCACCCCTCACATTTTCTTAATTGGTTTAAGGGTCTCTGGCGTCAGTCGTGAAACAGGACCTGGCACAGAAGGTTCCTTCTCGTTTCCTGGAAAATTAGATTTCTAGAAGCCGACACACAGTCTTGTAAGAACTCAGGAAGACTGGTTTACGTCAAGGTCCAGGATGAGAATGAACGGAAAGCTGTAGAGTTGGTCTAGAACTGAAGTGGGAGCATATCTTAGTGTAGGTTACGTTCTAGGAGCTGGTGTCTCTATTGAACCAGTTCAGATGCTAGCATCAAATGGGACGGAGGAGTAGAAAGACCGGATGGTCAGTGCCGTGACATTCCTCCAGTAGGTTTACTATGGTAGTTCAGTATAGGAGTTACGTTATTAAAAACTTTGGAAATGTCCTTTCTGAAGTACATTTAACATGCTATCTGAGATTTGTTTCAAATAATCCAGCAGAGGCAGAGATGAAAATATTTAAGGCCATAAGTTAATGATTATCATAACTGGGCCATGAACTTATATAGTAATACAATGAACTATTCTTTCTGTGCATGTATTTGAAAGTTTCCATAGGGGAAAACAAAGAACAAGTCAATCTTAAATCATTATACCCCAGAAAGCCAAACCCACTGCCATCTGGTAGATTCAGACTTGTACCAATCCTCTAGGACACAGTAGAACTGCACCGTAGGGTTCCCAAGGCTGTAGATGTTTACAGAAGCAGACTGCCACATTGTTTCTGGCAGAGTGGCTGGTGGGTTCAAACTGCCGACCTTTGGTTGGCAGCCAAGCACTTTGACCACTGTGCCACCAGGGCACCTTTTTAAGGTGATAGTGACCTGAAAATGCAAGAGGAGAAGCAGGGGGCTGTGCCTGCCCAGTAGGAATTAACCTTTATGTTTGTGGTTGTTTTCTCTCTCAGATCCAAAAGGAGAGTCCTTGGCCGTAAAGATTCAGACGACGATCACTCCCGAAACCATTCTCCCTCACCCCCCGTGACCCCCACCGGTGCTGCCCCAAGCCTGACCTCCCCCAAGCAAGTGGGATCCATTCAGAGAAGTGTCCGGAAGAGCAGTACGAGCAGTGACAACTTCAAGGCTCTGCTGCTGAGAAAGGGGAGTCGATCGGACACAAGTGCTCGCATGTCAGCGGCCGAGATGCTCAAGAACACAGACCCTAGATTCCACAGATCGAAGTCAGAGTCGTCTGCAGACACTCCTGAGAGCCCATCAAGCTGCTCCCCGAGCAAGAACAGAAGGGCCCAAGAGGAGTGGGCCAAGAACGAAGGCCTGATGCCTCGGAGTCTGTCCTTCTCTGGCCCCAGGTACGGGCGCAGTCGCACACCACCCTCTGCTGCCAGCAGCAGGTACAGCATACGGAACCGAATCCAGAGCAGCCCCATGACCGTCATCTCTGAGGGTGAAGGGGAGGCCATGGAGCCTGTGGACAGCAGAGCTCGCCGGGCTCTGGTCGCTGCGAGGGGAGGTTCACTGGTTGGAGTGGTCAGGAGTGACATGGAGGAGGGCAGCCTGCTTCAAGGCGAGGAGCCTGCCACCTCCCTGCAGGCCAAGCTTCCCACTGGCCCCCTAGATGGGACAGCCAGCACAGAGGGCCGGGATCCATCGGGACACTGTGGAGATCCTCCCCGGGAAGAGAGTTAGAACCAAGAAAGCGACTCTCCCAGGTAGTGGTGGGGAGATGGGCACTACAACCCTGTTGGTAGGCCTGCTGGGTACCAGTCATCAGCAGGACCTGGAGCCCTCAGCACTGGTGTGGGGGCCTGAGCTTGGCAGCCCAGCAGAATTAAGGGAGGGTGATTTCAGACTCACTTGGCACTTGCCCTGTGGCTTAAAAGCAAGTAGAAGCTTAACTTCTGGAAGTGCTTCCTGGGGAAGATTGTTTTTGCTAAATGCTGGGTGTGTGTGTGTATGTGTGTGTGCATTTTTGAAAGTATTTTATGTAAAAAAGATACACACACTCATAAACCACATGTACAGACATAGAGAAAAGACAGAGTTAAGCTAGCTAGAGTAAAGGTGTCCTCGGGCCTAGGAGATCATTGCTTTAAGAGTGTTGTAGAGACTAGTGAGTTCCATGATGAGAGCGAGGACCATGGCTGCTGGCGGGGAGGCGGCAGGGTTCTTACTGCCCAGAGTGCGTGGGGATATACACGGGTGTGCTTTTGAGGTGAAGCATGTCGTGGTTAACACAAAGAAGTTGGGAAAGGGCTGACTGACAGGTTCAGGTACTTTTTTCTGGGGAAAAAAGGCTTCGTTTCTTTTTTGTAAAAATGACACGTGTGTGGTAATGGCAACGCTGGGACTAGAGCCTGCCGCTCTGCAGCCACATCCATGCAGCTTTCAGCCTGATGTGTAGAGGCGTGGATAACTTTGTAATGGACTTCCTCCTTCAGCAGCAGCTGAGCCCTTCCTGGGGAACTGAGATGACGGTGTGTACAGGCAGGTGGAGGGAGGGGACGAGCCGAGAGAGGGCTGGAGTACGTGATGCACTGCTGGAATGTGTTTCCTGCTTATGAAATAAAATTATTTTTCAAAATGAAATTTGAAAACTTGCACTACAGAACTGCAGGTGGAGCTTGGCCTTTTACAGCTGTTTTTACAGGGCTGAAACTTCCATTTGGCAATTTCTCATCACGGAAATGTCAGCATCTGCTAACGTTTGGATATCCTTTTGGTTACACCAAAGAAAAAGTTGTGGCTATTTTTCCTTTAACTGCCTGCAGTATCATGTCCTAATTTAGAAGGGTTTATGAAAATCTATTATATATTATCTTACTCTGAAGAAAATGCTGGATAGCTGTTGTTAGTCAAATAAACTGATAAAAATTGGCAAGCCTTGGCTATTAATTAGCCCTGGGAAATGAGTATTTAGATTAAAAAGATTTTTTGCATCATTTCGTTGTATGTGTTTATATTATAAAGAGAGTTAGCTAATCACTTTTCTTCTTCTCCAGTTAGAATTTCAACACTGTTAGACATGGGAGAAAAGTATCTATTTATTTTAATATCAAATCCTTGGGATCCCCACAGCATCCCACCTTCCCTGCACTTAGTCCAGTTAACCATTGCCAGTGAGATGATTCCAACTCACGCCAACCAGGTGTCACACTACAGCTGTGCTCTGTAGAGCTTCTGAAGCAGATCGAGGTGCCTCTGGGTAGGCTCGAACTTCCAGTCTTTCATTCAGCTGCAGAGCATGTTAACCTTTTGGACTCCTCCCCATACTTACCACTGCCATTGAGTTGATTCCAACTCATGGTGACCCTGCAGGACAGAGATGAACTGCCCCACAGGGTTTCCAAGGCTGCTGATCTTTCCAGAAGCAGACTGCTGCTGCTTCTCCCACAGAGCAGATGGTGGGTTCAAGCCTCCAACCTTTTGGTTAGCAGCTGAATGCCTTAACCACTGTGCCACCAGAGCTCCCTTTTCCCTATACTTAAGACTCCTTTGTTAGTTAAGTAAAGGTAGAGTCCTCACTTCTTTTCTTCTTTAGAAGGAAATGTCTGTAATGACAATACTGTGACTCTTAGCCTAAATAAAAGGCAGCTGCCAGTTGCCGTCATAGTTTTGGGTATGAAAATACCATCTAAAAGTTGGACTGCACAGTTCATGTTGTCCAAGGGTTTATGTAATAAAACTTTAAACTCCTATTTAGAAAGGTCTTTGAGGCAAAAACAAACAAAGAATGAAGGCTCCTTCCTTGCTCTGAAAAAAATACAAAATACCCCCCCCACACACACACACACACACACACACTAAGGAAGCCATAGCTACCATTCAGCCAAAGGCAAAGGCTTTTGTCTTTAGGAGTAATTGTCTACTAGATTGGGCACAGGAGCTTACATTCTAAATTTTAGAAAAAATGGTATGGTGCCTTTTGAATATGAAATTAATAAAATTGCTCTCTCGCTCTCTCTTTTTTAAAAAAGAAAAAACCTGCTGCATTTTACACTTGCTTTGAATAAAACAGTTGTCAAGTAAGTATTTGTAACTTTTCTTTTGTGAATAATGAGGGAGGTCTTCTTGGGCAGAGTTGTTGAGTGCTTTGCTAGGTAGAAGCAGAACAGCCGTGAAGACCAGAAGGTGCCTGTGGGAGGTGGGGACACACACAGGAGACAAGAGTAGCACAGACCCTGGACGGTGCCCTCCAAATGGACAGACGGGAAAACAAGCCTAAACAGCGTCCTTTGGGCTTTTGAATAAAATATGAATAATGTATTAGCTGATGGGTTAAATGGTGCAGCATGTGGAGAGAGAGAGAACTTATCACAGGTGTGGGTGAAATGGAGGGAAACAGGACTTAAGACTCATCCCTGAAACGTAGGCTGTCTTTAGCTTTGCTATTTAATTCCTGTGTGGGGGCTCACTTGTGACATTGTGGACAACGTTATATTAAAAAAAAAATTGATGAGAGTAGACTTGACACCCCTTATACCCTGAGATATTGTCAGAGTCATAAACAGAAGCCCTAGAGCTAAATTATTTCTACCTCTTCTAAGAGTTGGGAGAGAAACCAATGACCATTTGGTGGATTAGTTGGAAGCCATCTGAACTTCTGCCCTCATACTATTTATGGAGAACATTGAATCTTCTGTGGGGCTGATGGTATAATTCTGGGGTCATCCCAATGATAGGAAAGGGAGGTTCTTCTTTATCTACATCTCATTCTACACCCACAGATGGTGATGGGCATCCTAGGAAGATGGGTGAAGCACTGGAATGGTTTTCGAGGTTTGGCTTAATATTTTATCAGCTCACATGTGAGTAACTTCATATTGCTGAGGTTCCATCATTAAATTAGCAAATAAATAAGAAAATTTAAAGATAATCGGATATTATCTTACTATTGTGGGGAGAAAAGGGTCCTTCAAAAAAACATGGACCTGGTTCTTAAAATCCTTTTTCCTATAATCTTTTCAGCTACTATAATAGAGTTTCTTTCAATGAGCTACTTTAAACCACCTTCTACATCCCTTGACTGTCATCAAGTCAGTTCCAACTCATAGTGACCCCCGTTGGGTTTCCAAGGCTGTAAATCTTTACAGAAGTAGATTGCCTTATCAGATGGTGGGCTTGGACCACTGACCTTCTGTTTAGCAGCCAAATGTCTTACCCACTATGCCACCAGAGCTCCTTACCTTCTATACATAGGCCCGCCTTTATTCACAGAAGAATGGCTAAAGCAATCTAGTTGCTTGTTTAGCAGTGAAAAAATGTCATTTAGTAAATACCTCCCATGTGCTAGCTGAGGATGAGGGAGTCCAAAGATAGAAAAATGTGTATCAACTACCACAAGGGGCTTAGACCTAGTGAAAAAGACACAATTAACTGTCCTGCAGAACCTAGCTGAGTCTCAGAGTAGATGTAAAGGAAGAGCGCTCAGCTCTGGCAGATCTGGCTGGGAGCCCACCCAATGAAGGATCTTTGACCAGTGGCACGTCCACAATAGGTTCAGGTTGGCAGTGAACCTGAAATGGCTTCCTAGGGTTGCCGTAAAAGTATAACAGATTGAGTGGCTTTATAAGAATAGAAACATACTGTGGAATAGTTCCAAATCAGGGAGTCAGCTGGGCCATGCTCTCTGAAGGCTTTAGGAAAAGATCCTTTCTTCTGATAGCCTTGGCATTCTTTGGTTTGTTATGATACCTCTGTTATCACATGGCTGCTTCCTTTTGTTGTCTATGTCTGTCTGTCTGTCTCTCCCTCTCCTCTCCTTTTCTTCTCCTCTCTTCTATGAAGACACCATTCACTGGATAAGGACCCACCCTACTCTAGTATGACCTCATGTTAACTGATAAACCAAACCTCTTATACCTTAATGAAAACCTCTTCAAAGGCCCTATTTCCAAGCTGTGTTACATTCTTAAGTACCAGGAGTTAGGACTTTAAACATATCTTTTGTGAGGGACACAACTGAATCCGTAACAGGACACAACTGAATCCGTAACAGTACCCAACCAAAACACTACATCTCACAGCCTGCCCCTGTAGTCAAGAGGGCCAGCCATGTAACAGTTTTAGCCAAAACTTAGGCAGTAGTATGGGAATTCCCAGGAAAATTGCTTTCCTTATCTGGCTGTCATCCTCTCCTCTGGCTTCTTTCATCTTCTTCCCTAGAATGCATGGAAGGCTGGAAGAGGAACAGCGACCTGGTAACCTTTGAGGCATGAATGAGGCTAGAAGCCACAAGTTAAGGATGGCAGAGAAAAAAGAAGCCAAGTCCATTGAACATCTAGAGGTCGTGGCCTTGGGCTGTCTACCTTCACTTTGCAGATGAGTGGTAATTCTTAGAGCAGCATATCATTGATTCTAACTGGGATTTGCTGCAGTGTACCTGACCTAGGACTTAACAGCTGAGGATTTCACCAGGCTGGGGAAAGCCATTGCAAACAGGACAATAAGGGCAAAGGCATAGAACACGTTTAGAGGCAGCTGAGCAGATAAACAGTCTCTAGACAAACTCAGTGGGACATAAGAATGAAGGGTAATCTGGGAAAGAATGTAGAGGGTGATGTATCACCCCAAGGAACTTGGGTTTGGGTTTGGAATCCTGGGAAACAATGAAGGATTAGAAGATGTGACAGGGTTTGGTTCTTGAGCTATGCTCTCCCCTGGTGACCTCATCTAGTCCCATAGCATTA